CGTGGCTATGCCGGAGTACTCGTCAACGTAATTCAGAACAGGGCTTCAGTAAAGGGGTTTCGGAGCTTTCCCGCAATTCACCTCAAATCCGAAATCAAAAACGAAGGAAAGGCTCAATAACAATCAAAAAAATGAAGTCAATTTTGGGTGGACGCTGCCTCTAAAAAATTCAGAAGTTGACCAAGTGGACAATCATTTATTGAAGCAATTGACAATCAACTGTGACAATCAATGACAACCATTATTGAAGCCATCCGTTGTGGCTCGGCAACTTCGACAACTTAGATGAGGTGAGAAGGCACTCAGTAACTTGCTTGCTAATTTCTCGTTCGATCAAGTGGTTATGGCCATCGTTTCGCCTTTCTTTTACTTTTCGCAACGTGCTCGTCTCGAAGCACATAGTGGTTCACATCGTGGGTTATAAAGATAAACTGACTTGACAAACTTCTTCTGTTAGGAATGTCCGCCAATGGTGATGGGCAGACTTATAGAAGCAAAAAAAGAGATACGAATCGATTTGTGCTTTGAATTTTGAATTAAATCCCTCTCTTAACTGTCATAAATAACTATTAAAAGCGAAATACGGTATGCAAGAAACAAATGCTCACGAAAAAATTTGACAGCAAGTAATGATAATCTGATAAATGACATAAACAGAGCGTGAAAATACATTTCGATGACATGACGGCAAAGATAAAGGAATGACACATAGGGGATTTTTGGAAAGTCATGTTCCTTTGCTATCTTGACAGGCAGCGTGATAAGTAGGCACATGTACGTTGAGATATGTTAGCTGTGTCCTTAGTTATATTAGCTTCCCAACCTCAAACCAAAAAACCTCAAACCTTACTAATCACATTGTACACTCGTTGTCTACATGTACAAAGAGCAACAGAAATTTATTTGCTAGTTGCAACGCGAAAAACTTTACATAGGATAGGACGAGTATCTCTAATAAAGCGCACTGTCTTCAGTCAGAGGATTAGAGACTAAACAAAAGCAGTGAACTTTACACTAAAATTTAGAAGCATCATTGTCAAGCTAAGCATCCATATTCTGTGCACACAGATTCAATGCGAAGAGGCACACTTACTAAGTATCAACATTACAGAGCATATCGATAAGTCCATGAAAGTTATTGCTGACTACAAAATCAATCTATCGCTTGCAGTTTTTTCCTGAGGACAAGTGCATTCTCCAGAATAATTCATTATCGAAAACGATAAATCTTCTCGCTTCGCCTCAGAAAACTAAACGCTTCATTTTCAAATGATGTAATGCAGTGCGACCCTGGACTATTGATTGATTCCATTGAGTAAACTATGTATCTGCTAGCGCTACCATTTGTCAATGTGAGTGACACCGAGAATAGTACAGAATATACTCACGTTTACTAAATGCTGCAAAGCAAAAAAAATCAGACTGTGATCTAAGAAATGAAAAACGGAAGTTTATTCTGTGCGTCATGATAGAACACAACCTGGAGAAAGAAACAGAAGTCATTTAGGGCGAAGTCGCGGATATTATGACATAACTATTATATATAGGATTGAATGTGAATGAGGCAAGTACAGTGAGTGCTATCTGGGAAAAAATTCAGAAACCAATAAGGTTGTGTTTTTTGCACACTTTTCTGCTGAAAAGAAGCTTTTTATGCGAGAATTCCTTTAGAATTTAAAACGGAAATTCTCAGATAACCTTTATATAGACTACGATTAAGTGTAGAAGTTCACTAAAACTGTCAAGTTTAATAAAAACGAGAAACTGTGCAGAAATGTTACGCAGAGAGCCCATCTAAATGCTGGTTTATCTCGTTATAGAGTGATTCTCAACATCCGCGACGTTGTCAGTGCTGCTGATCATATCATGGCGATCAGAATGATATATGATGTTGCAAAGCTTCTTTGAGACCCCGCCGAGATCTACGACCAGAGCCAAATGCCCCGTCAGCTATGGTCGGTCTCCGCTGCTCGTCTGCGTCTCCGCGCTTGCGCGCTACCTCGCTGTCCCAAACGCGGGGCACGTGGCATTTGGCTTTGGCTCCCTATTCTTCGTTGTTTTCAGTTCAATCTTAGCGAACTGTATATCATCATAGAACTTTTGATCTCTGCTCCACGCTGACAACGTCGCGGAACTCCTTTTTGTGATTTGAACGAGAAATTTGGCAAAAATCGTGTTTTCAAAAATCCTTGTTTTTCATTCAGTTTAGCTCTTTTCAAGCGTGTTTATTGTGCATTCCATAGATCTTGCTTCTGTTCATAACGATATGTTTATAACGTGCGGGGCTGACTTCTCTGACTGTAGTGGAATATCTGGCAAAAAGCTGGAAAGGCGTTTTTGTTCATAGGCCTTTCTTGGAGTTGGTAAGCAATCAATTCTTGCATACTTATGAGCAATTTGCTCAGGATTATGAGCACAACAAAGCTAAACGTCGCCGGAAACAAAAACTACAAGAAGAGGCTAAAAATTCAAAGAACGCATCAAAAACTAGGTCGTCTTTAACGTGCATTTCGACTTGGGAAAAAACAAAATTTTATGTTTTTATAGCTGAATGTTTATCGTTTATTTCCTCTTGATAATCACCACCTACAAAATATGTTTGCTTTCAAAACAATCACAAAGGAACTAGCTATTTCTCGTTTTCTCCCGTCCTTTGGATTGCCTAGTCTTGTAGCGAAAACCTGCAATTCGAAACGTCGCCAAAAGAAAAATTTCAAACTGATTGCGGTGTTTTATTGGGTTTTCAAAAACTTCTTCTGCTTTCGCTAAATGTTTTGCATCTTTTGTCTCTTCTTTAATTTCCTATAAACAACTTTCACTGATTATGGGGGACACATACTCAAATAACCTTCACTTTTGACGACCTATTTTTATACTACCAAAGGTATGCTGCGCGTTCTAATCGACCGGGCTAAACGCCCGCAAGCGTGTCTTTTGCGAGCTAACATTGGCATTCGCGCGCAAGAGTCATCATAGCCCCGCACTCGAAGCCGCGTTGAGACGCGCTCGCTGCGTTCATACAGCGATCCAGGCAATTTCATGCAGTCGACTTTACTTTCAGTGGCACTAAAAACTCGACGCCACCAACCGGGGAACGGAACTTACATACACAGTAAGGTTGCCGTCGCCTAGTTAGCGGAGTTCATGAGAGGTCATGAACTGGCAGCAACGCTAATTTGCACTCAATTTGCACCGAAGATGAGCTGGTTCTGCTCACGGTAACTCCGTCATCATCCTGCAGTTATGAAACCGGAATTTCTTTGAAATTTGAATTCAAATTCAGTAGTAAAATCAGTCCAATTCGGACAAAAACTAGTATTCAGGGGTGTTCTAATACGCTGATCCCGAATATGTTGATCGTTTTGCTTGAACCCTAGGATTTTTTCTTTTTTGAATTTAAATTTGTTTTCACAAATAAAAACAAAAATTCTATGTAGGGTTTTCTGACATGCTGTTTCCTAAAAAAACTTATGGTTTCGCTCAAAAGTTTGAATAATTTTTCCTTCAAAATTTTGTTTATTTTCCACAGATTCTCTGTAAATTTGGCAAATTTCACAATTAAGGTTTTTTGACATGCTGTTGCCAAAAGTTTCCATTTCATTTTCTTAAACATGGCAGATTTTTCCGTTTGTTTTCCAGGTTTATCAAAATTGCAGTGAAATTTTCGAAAAAGAGTTTTAAATTCAAAATAGAAGAATTTTGACGTTTCAAGCAAAACCATTAGCTTTTTGAGAAACAGCATGTCAGAAAACCCTAACATAGAATTTTTGAAATTTTTATTTGTGAAAACAAGTTTCAATTCAAAAAAGAAAAATATCCTAGCTTTCATACAAAACGATTAACATATTCGGAATCAGCGTGTTAGAATACCGCTAAATACAAGTTTTTGCCCTAATTGGACTGATTGCACTACTGAACTTTGAATTCAAATTTCAAAAAAATTCTGGTTTCATAGGCTGCAGAATGATGACGGAGTTACCGTGAGCAGAACCAGCTCATCTTCGGTGCAAATTGAGTGCAAATTAGCGTTGCTGACAGTTCAAGACCTCTCATGAACTCCGCTAACTAGGCGGCGGCAACCTTATTGTGTATGTAAGTTCCCTCACCCCACCAACCTCACATGAAACTGTTCAGATACCTGCCTGCAAGCGTGCGACGACGGTCATTATGTTGGTGAGGTTTAATGGTTGACGACCGGGGGAGGAAATCTTACCGGTTGGGAAGCGTTCCACCGTGCAAAAGCGCGAGAATTGCACAAGGTCATAATTGAAGGCGAACAATACATGCCTAACCATTTTGTAGAGTGCTGACTTACTTGCTTTCTGTTTTTTTTCTAATATTAGCTTTTTTTTACTTTAATCATGTCATGCTTTGATAAGTCTTGCATCAGTAAAACAATGGCCATACGGCAACTAAATCCTGCAGAAGTTACTTGAGAATCGCCCATTGTAAGTTCATGTTTTCATCTTTGTGATGATCCTCTTTTTCCAAATCTAAACGAAGCACTTTAACACTGGTACGTGTGAGTCCTTCTTTTTTAGGTGTCTGTCGTTATTAATGGGTATTAACAACCTTTATTCTATAATACCTACCTATCAGTGGCGTACCGAGGGGGTAGGGGCGGGGGGGGGTCCCCGTCCCCGTCCCCCCCCCCCGAGAATGGGTCGCGAAATTTTTGAAAGCTACTTATATGGGTTATAAAAATGTGCAAGTGACTTGTTTATTTTCGTAAATAATTAAGATAATTTTTAAAATTTTTAAAAATTCAAATTGGCCTTGTAAAAAATTTTTTTCGGGGCGTGGCTGACGCCACGCTCCCTTTTTCCAGACTTTAGGGATCGGGGACCCGCAAAAATTGTGATAAGCACCCCAAAAAATTTTTCGGAGTGCGTGGCTAACGCCACGCACCTTCATAAGAAAAATTTTCAAGCTCCCAAGCCGAAATCCTGGGTACGCCACTGCTACCTATGTATTATTCTTGGACAAGTTTCAGATTGTCGATGCACTTGTTTAGCCGCCGAGTCACCCTCATGGCCCTTGATACTGCACTCGGCGGCGTCTACTTTTGTGTAGGCGATCTTCACGTTGCATTGATAATACTGTCTGGCAGAAGTTGGTATTCAGGCTATACACGTCCAACTTGGCTGTATAAAAAAGCCTGGCTTCCAGGTTCTGGAGTCGTCACTATCGCTCTGTTCCTGTTCACTATTCCCTGTGAATAGATTGTTGCGCCACCCAGTTGGTATTTACCAAAATTTCGAACACCACTATTCTGTTATTGCGGTTGCATTGGTGGCGAAGAAAGCGGAAATAATATCGAAAGAACTGTTTTCAGTTACATCGTGAGTGTTTTTTTTTTGTTAGTCAGAAGTTCATGTAGGACTGCGAAAACGAGAGGAAGTGAAAATGACTTGCTAAAATTGTTAGCGACGAGATACAACCAATTCTCCGCTTCAGCTTTTGGTGATTGACCAGCAGGAGAGTGTTGACTTTCTACAGCTTATAGTTTCTCAGGCGAAAGCTGCAATAGAGCGGGTCTAAACTTATGATTTCATATGCTATAAAGTCAGCAGTTAATTTTCAACATTGCTACTTTTGAGATTGGATATGGACTTTAAAGACGTCCAAACGTAGACTAATTCTGCTGACCATCTTACGGGAAACCATCACATTCTAAAGGTGATCGATTAATGATTTGCGTTTATGATTTCCTCCTTGAGGCATGTTTATTACCACTAAAGCCCGTTGTAATAACTTCGTTTTGAAAAAATAACATTTTTTGGGTCTATAACATCTATAGTGATTATCGACTGTGATTTCTAATGCTTATTGCTTCGCCAACAGAGTTCATCACTATGTGCTTATAATATAAGTGATGGTGTCCTAAATTTGCTTTTGCGAACAGCATTGTTTCCTTTCCAGATTATCGAATTGTCGCCTTCCAAACTTGCAGTCCCACGAATGGAAGAATGTAGCTCTATGGTGTTTTGGGATGAATAAAGCAAGATGTGATAATGGGCCCTCGCATGAGCGAAGAGAGTGAAGAGAGGGCAGAGAAGCGCCGTGACGCAAAATGTGACGACTGGGAATCCCGCCATGCCAGGTTCGGCATGGTTGAGAATGGGACAAATGGACAAACAAAATGTTTTAATGTAAATGTGTATTTCAGTCACGTACGTTCTCTCGCATTATTATTATGTATCTCAATGAATATCCCTAGGCAATACTATATGGTCTTGTTTTTTATATACAAAGAGTGCAAAAGTTAGAATGTGAATTGAGAAGAGAGCGAATGCCATTTTCGCGCCATTAATCTATGCCGGCTGTCGGCCTTTTGCGAGTTGCCGGCATGAATGTCGGCGATGGGTCAGGCGGCCGATCTCCCGCCGGCCGACGCGAGTGCCTGATTGCCTTAAGTCCCGACGCCACATAAAAAGATACCGGTCGTTGATTTGTTCATTCAAATTGTAGTGAGGTGTCGTACCTTCATACAGGTTTTCAGATAAAGAGAAAATTTTTTGTTTAGTTTTGAAATATGCAACCGCAATGAGAAATAAAAATTATGAAATTGTTCCAAAGTTTGCCCCGCCCCCGTTTTCTGAACTTTCCTCATTTTCAAAAGATGTATATGCTTGCTTCAAAATAGTTTGTAAACAGGCAATAAGATCCCTAGCAGTGTATCAAAACCAATCTTGAGATAGAAAGTCCTTGTTGTAAAGCGCAACTAGAGAAGGTCGAAGCGTCGACGTAAAAGTGGCCAACAATGCGTTGCATTCACCCTCGCATTTTACTATAGAAATTTGAACATGAAGCGTGGCGCGATCCAACCTTAGCGAAGTTGCCTGGTCCAAGTCAAAACAGACTGTATGTATGCATGCATGTCCGCACCTCTGCATGTGTTTTTTGACAGGAAGATCTATTTTCGAATCTATTTGGAGCAAACGTCCCTCATACACTTCAGGCGTAATGCTGCTTTTTGATAGATAAGTCATTAAACTTTAGCAAATTTTAGGCTGAAAGATAAAGATATATGTCCAGAGAGGAAGAAAGTTGAGCATTTGCTGACATGGAAGAGCAAAGACTTGGAAAGTTTTTAACTGCATTTTGAATAGTCTCTGAAAACTTTGAGTCGAGGCGCGTCATATTTCTTCAAGCTGTAACTTAGGTTCTGAATATGATAATAATAGAAGTACATATATGACATCGCCTTCAAACTCAATCCTGACTCAAAATAGGAGGAACCATCGCGCGCATGTCTTCATAAGAACCACATTTTTCTTCGGAGTGGTTTAAAATCGACTTTGGAAAACCATTTGAACAACATAGAGCTAAAGTTTTGCATGTCTTGCGGGTTCTCGTTAACTAAAAGAGCTCTTAAAAGGTTCCTTCAAATAAGTTCTGCAAGACTACCAGCAAATTCAGGAGTTTTACAAACCTCACTAGGATCCTTTTATGGAAAAGGTGCAACGCAAAGAGAAATTTTGAAAACACATACGCCAGAAATTGTCGAGTTTGCAGCTGAAAACCTGGTTTGACGCTGAATTTGCTGCTCCTAATTTTGGAACAGTCCTTTTTGGATTGACTTTGATACCCATAGCGAATTGCATTCGTACGAAAAGAAGAAGAGATCATCGTGATAAAGTATCTAAAGCAAGCACGAAACACACGGTTGGAGGAAAGCCACTCCTCCGTCGACATTGGAGCATTCACAGTGATCCCAAACCTATAATCCAAAGCAGATTTATTGTGATATTTATTTCACGGGAAAGGATGCTTAGTGATCGTGGAAATTCCTGATGAGAATCATATCACTAGATGCGTCTTCAAATGCTGATTTTGAATATGGTTTTGTTACCTGTCAAGCGATTCTCTGAGATTTCACGCTCTCCATGAGAATTTGCACTGTTTCAGTTTAGCAAAATTATAATCATCACTCAGATTTCTTCTTTCGCCACTCGGAACAATTTTTGATGAAGAGCGCGTTTACATTATGCTTAGATAACCTATCTCGCATTTATTTCTAAAAAACACATAGATATGTCCTGACCACGCTTGAGTGTGAAAAACTTTGCGGAAAGCTCATAACTTACCGACAATCGCTTAGCAGACAGCGAAACGTACATTTCATTAAAATTGGCCACGGTTATCACGTTTTTTTTCTTGTTAGATCGCCAATAAGGGAGCGTCACGAAGTCGAAGTCGATAATTATCACAAATTGCATAAGAATAGTGACTCGGAACACTGATTTGAAAACTGCTTTCCCTATCTTCTGAGCTGAAGAGAAATCAAGAGCATTTTTGCGCTGAAAAATGAATAATGTGTGTCGCGGGCGAGAGCGGCCTTAATTAGGTCACAAAGCCCCGCATATGTACATGACGAAAAGTTCCTAGAGATGAGCTGAGCACAATTAGATGGAAAAAAGCTCGTAAATGGAGAAAATTGCTTTCTTCAAAGTGACTACACAAAAACCAGAAATCGGTGGTTTTTTCATCATTTATGTTCTGTTCGCTCGTCACTCAAGCGAAACGTATTTCGCTGTCCAAAAGCGCTTCTCTCTTCGCCATAAAAACGAACGTCACAATTTTTTGAAATGACTAATATACGCAGTTTGAAAATGATGCGACAAACTTTTCAAAGCTGCCAACTTTCTAATACACTTGTAACAGATTACATAAGTTCGAATTACGGGTTGATAAACGATATTAATTGATATTAAGCTTTACGTTGTACGCCTATAACGGCTACTGACTGTTAAGGCCAATGTATGTATTAGGTTGAACCAAAAGTTCTGTCGCACCATTTTCAAAAAATCATAACTTCTTTCTGTCACGACGATTTTGCGCAATTCAAATTTTTTCTGGAAGCGTAAAGCATGTAGCCAAAAGCTCTCTGCGTAGTTTCCGACAAGCTCAGATGGCAGAGATAAAAATGAAAGAACGAGATCATCCGAAATTCGGAATTTTTGAGCAAGAATTCTAAAAATTCAGAAACTGTGCGAAAATCCAGAAAAGCCATTATCCTAATTTTTCTTACATTTGATTACTATCTGAGTCAAGTTTGTGCTGATCGAGTCCTTCTTTCAAAAGTTATGATTGTTTGAAAAATAATGCCGAAAAATCAATTTCCTAAGAATTCTTAAGGAATGGATTTTTTGGCATTTTTTTTCAAAAATTCATAACTTCTGAAAGAAGACTTCGATCAGCACAAACTTGACTCAGATAGTAACCAAATATAAGAAAAATTAGGATAATGGCTTTTCTGGATTTTATCGCACAGTTTCTGAATTTTTAGAATTCTTGCTTAAAAATTCCGAATTTCGGATGATCTCGTTCTTTCACTTTTATCTCTGCAACCTGAGCACCTTGGAAAGTCTTCAGGAGACCTTTGGAAAATACTTGCTTTTCGCTTTTTGATAAAATTTGGATTGCGCAAAATCACTGTAAGGGAAAGAAGTTATGATTTTTTGAAAATGGTGCGACAGAACTTTCGGTTCAACCTAATCCTATATATAAAGCTGAATGACTGCTTGTATGTCTGTCTGTCTGTCTGTCTGTCTGTCTGTCTGTCTGTCTGTCTGTCTGTCTGTCTGTCTGTCTGTCTGTCTGTCTGTCTGTCTGTCTGTGTGTCTGTCTGTCTGTGTGTACGTATGTTCCGAATAGAAAATTCCATTTCTGAACAGATCAGGACCAAACTTGGCACACATACACTTTGGGCCCCGGCGGGTGTCATAGGCTACTTTTCGTTATCGATCGATATCGATTTTATCGATTTTTTGGAAAATTGGAGCTACAGGGCTGGGAGTTGGCACAGGGTGGGGGGTAATCGAGCATGCTGATCACCCCCGTGGGGGGTGATGAGCATGCTCGATTACACCCCTCTGCCAAATTCCAGCCCCCTAGCTCAAATTTTGCAAAAAATCGATAAAATCGACATCGATCGATAGCGAAAAGTGGACTGTGACACCCGCCGGGGCCCGAAGTGTATGTGTGCCAAGTTTGTTCCGGATCGGTTCAGAAATGGAATTTTCTATTCGGAACATACGGCGGAGCCGGCTAGTATAATATAAAACCCCATGAGCATAGGAATTATCACTGTGTTCCTTCTAGTCTCTGGCGACAAAGGTGCTTTTCAAAGGCAAAAGTTCTTAAAACACCATATCATCTATTTCTAGTGGACATATCTGTGGCAAACGCTTTGCATAAATTCAAAACTCAACGTGCTGGTGCTAAAAAGGGTTTGGAGTAATTTGAATCGAAGACCACTTGCTCTTTGAAATTCGATGCAATTTATGATAGAGCAGATTTCTGAGATGAGCAGTCCAGAAACCTATTTGCTACAAGTGTTTTTTGTGTGAAAATTTGTTGACCACCTTGCTAAAATATTCTGCCAAACTTGGGCGAGGCCAAAAGCAATGTCGAATTTAACTCTATAGAAAATATATTGGGTTAGGAACTAAGTTTTGCAAATTCTTTCACATCTTTGGATATATCACACTCAAACATTGGCAAGATATGGAGCGTAATATGTGCTTTAAGCTTGCTCAAACAGTTTGATTTTTGAGACAAGATAAAAAAAAGGTTCCAGGCAGTTTTTCGAGAGCTAGGGAGTATTTATGGGGTGAGCAGAAACAATGCCGTTGGCAACCTAGACCAAGCATGATAATCCAAAATTATCTATGAACTGTTAGTAGAGGTCTCATTTGGCTCAGGGAAAAACTCTTGAAGACAAGTCGTCATCTAATGCCCTGATAAAGGTGATCGATCACGTACGCAAAGTCTGATGGAATAAAAGCTGATGATTAAGGAGTGGGAACCTCGAAATCGGCGAAACTTTGCGTAGCGTGGTTGATTAAGCAGATAAGCACGAATATCATATTCGGTTGAATTAAAGCCTCTTTTCTTGTTGGTAAAAACCCATATCGTAAACTTACAGTATTCCCAGTATTCCTACAAAAACCTTTACATGAAATTTTAGTATAATCAGCATCCTATAAAGGGTGTCCCAAAAATGTACCTACTGTTTGATTGTAAATAACTCTCTCGTAATGAAGTGTTTCGATAAGCTTTAGGTACCATTTTGTAGAGCGAGGTCAATTAGATTCACTTTATAGAGTGAATCATCGATCGCTTTTCGTTACTGTAGGATTATGGTAAGAACTTCCAGCATATGGAACAATTGTGAGATATATCACCTAACAAAAATTTTTTTTCCAAAAATCTGCAATCTGTGCTAGGGCTTTCGCTCATGCTGATTCCGCCTAACAACTTTTCCTAGTGTTTTCTTGACGGTCAATTACATTTTTGACAAATACTGGGAGTTCATTATCACAGTTTACCCAAGATAACTTTGGAAAGAAACATCACTGCGAAGTGGAAATTTCAAACTCCAAATCAGCGGCTCCCATTACCGTGGTATAAGAGTTTTTGGCTTGTTTGGCTTTGCTCCGAGGCAGAATATAGCCTTCAACGGCTCAAAATTCTTGTCGATGTTCGTACCGTAATCCTACAGTAATGAAGAGCGGTAATAATTCGCTCCATATTGTAAATCTAAGTTTAACCTCGCTCGACAAAATGGTACCTAAAGAGCTTCTCGAAACCGAACAGTAGGTACATTTGGGACACCTATGTAATGGCGAAACTTGAATGAAACATTTTGTAAGCGAGGAAAGTTCTTGAAGAAACTGCAAAAATTAGCTTCCAACCTAATACTTTCACTCGAGCTTATTGTGACCGTATACATTGAGTGGAACGTGATGTATTAGAGATGGTTTTGCACTTTCTTGATTTCAAATATCCAAAAGATTCTTGGAAACTTCTTGCTACAAACTCCACCAGCACGACTTACTAAGCAAAAAAATACACAGTAAGCTTACGATAGTTTTGCAAATGCACTAGAAATTTTCTTTTTCGCTTATTGAACGCGTCTCCATTTTTTTCAACTGTCCATACATAATCTTGTAGTACCTTTACTTCGCTTTACTTTGGCGCCGTTAGCGTTTTAAAAATGGGGAGTCAAAAATTTAAGAGTGCAAAATTCCCTTTTAGTGTGCATCGTACAAACATTAGTAAGCAATGCTCAAACACAATTTTGGATTTTTTTTATAAAAGTCGCTCACAGATAGCTGAAACACGATGCGCTATCCCTCCAAAGTGGCCATGCCTCTGCCCCTTGAGCACATTGTCCCGCCCCTCGCTCATCAACTAAATGCCACTTTGTTGGCAAAACTGACTTGGGGCCATAAAGTGGGTGCTTTGCCTTGATCTGCGAATGTATCGGCGCGATGAGCCTCCTGTGAACACTTAAGCATGAGATACCCGAAAGCTTCTTACAAGGGAATGGTCAGAAATCGAAGTGGCCCATTCGAGCAAGCTACATACCATTAGATGCAGCATAAAACGCTGAGTCTAAATCTGTCTTCCTTATCTGCAGAGCGCTTTTGTGAATGAAATTATAAGCCGTTAAAGGCCATAATATTGCTAAGAAATCGTGCGTTGAAAGGTCAAACTTGGCCCTACAGAGCCATTTTCGGCTCAGCGTTGGACCAAAATATGCAACTAGGCCACTTCACATGGCCTCTGCACCTAGAGGTGAGCCAAAAGGACAATGATGTGTTCAATTTGGCAATTTTTGTGTACGGTTTTTTGGCAGTAAAGCTGTTCATAACTTCGCCTACAAAGACGCTTTGCAGATACGGAAGATAGATTTGAAATCAACATTCTATGCTGCATCGAATGGTATGCAGCTTGTTTAGACTGGTCACTTCGACTTCTGACCATTCCCTTGTTAGATTGGAAGTTGAATACGAGAGTGTGACAAAAAACATAACAGCTTTTGGTGCAAGCCCATGGAATGCTTGTGATTTTCTTACTTGACGGAGGAGATAAATCAATGCTAATTGTATGTAGAAAAACGTTGATCAGAAATTGCTCAAGAGGAAATGGTCAGAACTTAACCAAGCCATTCCCAACAAGCTGTATATCATCGCACTCGTCTTAAAACGCTGATTTCAAATACCCTAAAGTCTTACAGATAAGTCTGCTTTTTTAACGAAAATTGGTGAAAACGCACTCTCGCACCGCCAAGAATTTGCAGATAAGTCCTCCCATAAGAGTCCACTTACAGATAGTTTGGACTTAACTGACAGATTTCAGGGTAGTTATAATGGAAAGAAAGCGGGCTTATCTGAAGAGCCATATTTGAATCAAAAAAGCGGACTCATCTGACGGCGACCTTATCTGTAGATGGACATATGTGATGGGAGGACTTATCTGTGAGATTTTAGGGGTATATGTTTTTCATCGGCCAAGCGACTATCTGGGACCTATGAGCGTTAACATATGAAAATTTTTTCGAGTTTCAACGAATATATCTCGAGAGGCAGCCTGATGACCCGGATTCACAGTGGCTATAGATATTTTAATTATAATGAAGAAGTACATCTACTAAAAACCTTAAATAAAATTTTTTGAAACCTATTTCATAGAACATGCATCACAGAAAACTTGACCAATCGCTTCAAACGCTCATAACTCCTACCAGACAGTCGCTTGGCAGATATTGAACATATTTTTATGATCAGAGTTCCATGGCTTCCGATACTATACGGCTGTTGATATGACTTGGTTAAGTTCTAACCATTCCCTGCAGAGTAAACGTTTTGTCTCTTCGAAGCTTCCACGTAACCATTTCGAGAAGTGTCGTTGATTTTTTCCAATATTGTTGCTATGAATGTCAGCAGCGCTTATCTATCCTATGACTGATGTACATACGTGGCTAGTCACAGAAATCGTTCAACATTTTTTTGAAATTGTGGGGTTCCATGATAACCTCTGTGACTGTTGGGTGATATGACATCATTTTTACTGATGTCAAAGACGCAAAATCCATTTTTTTTCCATAGCAATCAAACACTAAACTGCTCATGGCAAAAATAGCAAAATTTCTTTTACACAACCATAATAGCGTAAAACGTAAGTTTAGTGAAATGACTGTTGGTAGTCACGTCAGTGATGATGTGACCGGCAACAGTTGTCAGATGTGGAAGTTGTCAGCGTTGTGATAACGGTAGCAGAAAGCACTCAAATAGATGACACACGGTTTCCTTGAAATTAAAGCAGATTACAAAGCTTTTTACGATCTAAGCCTTATCAGCGCATCCTGCCAGAGATATACGTCAAGTGACAATTTAGTACCGTATTCTGTTATCATATAAAAGAGTTAGAATCTCTGGAATAATCACATTCTCTCATCACTTTTAGACTGCCATCTCTACTACTTAAAGCGAGCTCTGCGAATAGAAACGTGCTTTTGCAACAAACGTGCTTTTTGGGCAGTATCATAGAGTTTTGACTCTCCATTTTCTGATATATGTCGCTAGACTCCCATGATAAGCACCAGTCACTTTTCTGCAATGTTCGGCTTAGCCGCTTTGTGAAAATGCTCTCATAGCTAATGCAACTGTAATAGGAGCCATTTCTATATTCCCTCCACATCATTTGATAACATTGACAAAGAAAACTTGTAGCTCGGCGCTGGCCTATAGCATAATTCAATTTTTATGTCCTTAAAAAGATAGCTCCTTGCTCCTTTTAGATAGATATCCGGCTCTTTTGTATGCAAGCACTATTTACAGTTCGCTTGATACAATGAACATTTGACGACCGTATGGTTCTCGAAATAACACTCAACCTTTTTGAGGATGTTAGATATCGCTGCGAATATGATTTAACAAAGCAAAGTTTCAGATCATGCTTAGGATCCTAGTACTTGCATTAGTAGCCTACTCTCAAGCCGATATATGCCCTAAGGGACACAAATACGATGAAAAAACCAGGAAGTAAGTAAGAGTTATATTTTGAAAGAGCAAAAGTGTAAAAGAGCTCTCCTTTCAGATGCTATGCCTTCATTTATGATGCACTTGACTTCAACGATGCTAGCAAAGCATGCCAAGAGAGATTTGGCTATGAGCTTATTTCCATTCATGACATGCAGCTCAATCTATACGCACAACGTAATGAACTTTCGTTGGCCTAAATTTCATGTGCCTTTTCTAACAATCAAATTTAAGAGTTGACTCATGCTTTCTTCGACAAGGACTATGGATCATTCTGGATTGGAGCTACCAAATGGGGCTATGGTGACTGGCATTGGACAGACAACACACCGTTCGACTTCCAGAACTTTGCAAGAGGTAAGCGAATTTCTGTTTTCGCGGCTTCTAGCAATCTGTGCAAGAATTTCTTTCACAGGAAACAATCCGCTCAAGTACTGCGCTCACATGCGTATTGCAGACGGACAATGGATTGTCGATGATTGTGAGTATGGGTAAGTTGTGTGTAACTGTCTGAAAAAGTTCTTGTACTTATTGCTGTTATGAGAGACCAACTGCAATTACAAACAACTTTTTGACGAACTTGATTTCAGACTACACCAGGCAATGTGCTTCGGTGATCCAGGAGTCCACCCAAGAGGTATTTTCAGCGATCATTGTCAAAGTAAAGGAAATTTTTGCATCGAACTTTTGCATCTCTAAGTCAAACGTTCAATTGCGTGTATAAAGAATGAGTTCAAAGTCCTATTTATAAGCAAAAGTATTCAAAGAGAGAGGCGCAAGTAGAGGTATGCCTGTGAATAAAGGAAGATGTTGACTGAAAGTAGTTGGTGCTTGCAGTCGACGATGACCTTTTCATGGGATTGTCAACTTCCAATCGTATAACTTAGGCTCATCAATCAGCGCTCTTTGAGCATTCGCACTCTTTGATAGCACCCTCCAAGACTAATACATAAACGCTGAAGATTGTGTAGAGCTTGAGATGATCACACTCTATATTTATTTTTATAAGCTTGTTCATAATACAGAAAACTTGAGCGATTTTTCAAGTGTAACTGCTCCTGGCCCACACTTGAAAAGACTAGTACGTTCGAAAAAGCGAAGTAAAAAAAATTTCTTGCAAGATTCCTCAAACGAAGCAGCGTTACATGAGTAAAATGCCGTTCTATGTGTACACTATTTTCAGTGACAACAGTAGCACCACCAGCACCAGAGCCATGCAAACCTGGATGGCATTACAACTCAGTGAACAAGTATTGCTACACATTCTACCCTGTAAGCTTCAACATGTTTCCTTTTTATAATCCTGTGCGTCAGTTTCGAAAGCTCTCAGTGAAAAAGGGACAATTCGGACGCAGAAGCGCTTAATACAGATTTGAAACACCATAATTCTAAAGTTTGCGACTGTTTAGGAATATGATCACATGGATATTACCGTTTTCTTTGAATGTGCGCTTGAGAGCTCCATCGAAACTGCACAAGAAGAGGCCTTTGTACGAGGTGCGTACTTCGGGCAGTAAACCTTGATTTTGTGAGAGAAACTTATGCTCAATGTTTCGTACAGTCGAAAGTCAGAGAAGACTAGAGAATACTTCGGAATTTAAGGCATACTGAAGTGGTACGATCCAGCTACTTATTCCTGCAAGTTACCATATGGACGTCACTACTTTATCGGAAGAATCAAGGGCACGAAATCCGAAAAGAGTACGTCTTGCGTTCCCTTTATCTTTTTCAACGACGTACATATCCCAATGCTTGTCTATGCTTCATAGCAATTTAGAGATCGAACGTCATTGGACCCACTGCGGCAATGATTACTACTTCAACAGCACTGAGATAGTAGAGGGACCTAACTACATCTTCGTAAGTTTTCATGCACATTATAAGTCTGAAGAAAGCTTCGTAATATACAGCAACAATGTCTACAAAAGCGCTAATTCCTGGTTGAAGGGAAAGTTTCAGTTTCATGTTCTAACCACCAATGTATGAGCGCCGAACCAATATGGGCGCAAGTCCTTATCTCCCAACAAGAAAGGCTAAATTTAGCTTTTACTAACAGCGAATTACCAAGCCCAATATGATCAACTTTTTGCACGCAAGTCTTCTGGCATGTAGTGAGCAATGCTCTTCAAAATGCAAAGTTTACTTGTTTTGTAGAAATTTATTTTGCTAACTTGCAGAAATTCTGCTATCATAGCCTCACAAACTGAGGCTTTTGATTGCATAGCTGCTTTCTCAGAAGATTATTGCTCCAATGAACTATGAATAGCATTTGCTCTTACTACGAATTTCATTTTACAGATCACGCATGATCACTGGAATTATGAGAAGACAATCGATGCTTGTTTCTTCATGTGCAAGAGGAAGAGCATTTACCTCGTTTGAAGCAACACAAGCAACTTTCTTTCTGTTCAGACAGTGAAGCAATCATTTGTCAATATGCTACAGAGAATTAACAAATCATGTTTTTATTAACATAAATCTGTTATCAAGCAACGTGAGGTGTAACACACTTATTCACTTAGCACAAAAATTCAGATTATCTCCGAAAATTACACGGTGATGCTGAATAAGTTGAGCTGTAAGCTTCGCTTTGAAGGATAAAGGACAAAATTATGTGAAACAATATTATTTGGGGAGATGAGCACTCGCAAGACTAAGGATATCCCATACCCGTATTTTGCTTCGATTTTAACATGGATGGAGACATTGAAAACGGCACTTTGTGCGGCATAATATCGCAAAAACAGTTTGATCAAATGAGCGACACGATGAAAAAGATACACTGCAAATTTTATACTCGTATTTATCGTCAGCATTGCAGGACGAACCATCGGAGAAAATTATTAGGTAGTAAAATTTATATTGTTGCATCCACACAGAAACATGTGTTTATCTGTATTTTTGCTAGTCATTTTTTATATGACTGCTAAACGAATGGGAAGATAAGTATGCCTTGGAGCATTGATTCAGCTGTGTATTCTGAAGAGATGGTTGATGTTTTCAGTAACAATTTGTGACTGGTAAGTGTTATGTCGACAATCTCAGACAATCAGCAAAATACTTTCGGGGAAAACTAAACTTCTAAAGTTGTGGGGGGGGGCGCTCCTATTCGGCCGTGTGGGTGGACCCCGCCCTACCTGGCCGCGACCTGGCAGCTCCAATAAGAGTGCCCCAACGGAACTTTTAGAAGTACAGTTTCCCCCAGTATTTTGCGGATTGTCTGAGGTATAAGCCCTGCTTAGCTGCTGGAACAAACTGACATATGAACTCGGTGGCTGTAAACTGAATAATAATCCAACTTGCAGAAAGATTCTATACGAGCATCTTTTCAATTCACAAACTCATCACTAACAGCCAAAAGGTAATTCTAAATTCTTAAAACGATCTAGATACATTTACAACTACTTCACATTGCTAAAAGGAATTTTTGAGAAAAGTTGGATGGATAACCAGAATGGGCAGAAACTGACTTTTTCATGTCGAAACGGTGCAGGAAAACGGAAAATCCAGATTTTAACAGAACGAAAAACCGTACGACAAAGAGCTTGAAATGTATGAAAAATGCGCAAATGGTACGTACAGATACGATATGTTATCTACATCCGTGACTAGATGAGCAAGCTCAAACATTCTGTGCTGCCTAAGGTTGACCTTCGTACGAAATGCACGGAAATTAACACAGTTCTGGCTGTACAAATTGTTAAAGAGCGTCACAGTCTTTTTTGTGATTTGCTATGTAGCCTAATTGTTTTTTATAGAGCTTAGAAGTTGAATGTCAAAAAACTCAATACGGAACAAAAAGGTGGGCGCAGTAAAGCGGTAGAGCGCGCCTTCCTACTTAGGGACGCCGGCCTCGTTGGCTAGTTTGGGTTCAACAAAAGAGGCGAGGAAAAGTTTTGAAACCAAAATGCTATTTATTTGATTAGTCGTAAAACACATTGGGAATTTTTATTTAATTTAGAAAGAACTGAACTGAAAGCTTGCAGGCTTTAGAACAGCGTTAGAAAGTTGCGCTGCTCTGCGCTGCTCCTGCTATACCACACTTATAACAAACGTGACATCATACTCGTTATGGTGGTGTTATTTCGTGAGTAAACAGTTTTTTGTTACCGCAAGCACAGTTTGGGGAGAATGGCACCTTTCGTAGGATCGTGTTTGAGCACGCGTGTCATGTTGTAATTTGATGTAAAGGAACTCATAGTAAATGTATCAAACATGACCTACGATATCCGCTTTGCTGCTACTATCCCCGTAAAGGTTTTCAGCTTGGCTACTGCCACCCACATGCTGGGCCCTGGAAGGAAATGTTCCTGATAACCCTTGATTTGAACATGTTTAAGCCCGTCATGGAGAAGTAAAGGTTTTTTAGCCTCTTCTTTTTTTAGCCTATAGTCTCAACTATACTTGGCGTTCTTCTTCCATACAAGCACTTTTGTTACAGGATCACCTGGTTTTGTTCAATCTACTGTAATATAGTCCTTGAACTTTCCACTATGCAAAGCCACGGGTTCAAATATCTATTAATTGTTGGTGTTTAACAATATTCTTGACAATATTCTTCACGTGAGAAGATGAACTCCGATTTACGAGCATCTGAAACCGGTGGTGTTCTACGCAGAGAGAGTAGGGGGGAGGGGGGAAGCGTCTTCCAAGAATGGGTCGCGAAAATTTTGAAATTTACTTACATGGGTCATAAAAATGTGTAGGTAACTTGCTTATTCTTGTAATTATTTGAAATAATTTTTTCAAAATTTTCTTTTAAGAAACTCAGTTTAGCCTTCTCAGAAACATTTGGGGAACTGATACATATATGTCTCAAGGTCTGTGAATGTCGTTAGATTGTTCGTTCGTTATAGAAACGCCAGGTTGAACAGTTCAAGCAAGACTTCGCACACGTATGTTTTCGATCCGATAGTGATTTAGGGCTATTTTTCGCGGCGATTCTCTAAGCCCTTCTATGGACTTATTGATCTTAAGACTTTGTAGTGAAAATGAATCCCTTCCAGGCAAAAAACTCATATACCTCATATAAACAAACTAGGTTTCATTTTTGTCTCTGCCAGAAAGCTCGGTTGGGAGAAATTAAGCAGAGTGAGTTTTGTCATACTATGATTGTAAGAGTAAGATAGTCTGATGTTGTACGTTACTGTATTTTATTTATTCGTCAGAGCAGAGCAAGGATGGTGCCCAAATTCGAGCATCATTTTTTTTACAAAGACTGTTTAACTTTAATTTTCTGTTTAACTTTTTCGTGATCTTTGTCCTGTATCTGCTAAAAACCAATAAAACTGATCAGGAAATTTAGTATGGGAATTGAGAGAATGGAACAAAGATTAGTGCTGTTGAAGGATGAAAGAAAATGCAGTTCACTTGGATAAGTTATTAAGATTGTTTTAAGCTCAAAATAACAGATTGAGTTTGTTTATACTCTGCAGGTGTCCATGCGCTATTTCCAATAGCACAAAAAACCGATGCATTTATTACTTGAGAACAAAGAAAAAAAATAAGAAATTGAGTCCTCTCGAGTAGCCATACTCCAAAAAAAAAATGGATTGTTTTTGATGTGAGAGAGATGACCGCTACATGTTGAAGGAAGCGGCCCGTCAGAATTTCGTTCTGTAGTTCTTCACCTTTTCGCAGCCTCCTCGCCATGAGTAAGCCATATCAGGGCTTTTAGCGCATGAAAATGGCAAAAATACGCTTTATCCGAAGCTCTTTGGGTCCGCATTCATGAAGATACGCCGGAAAAAGCCGCGCCCCGCCTTTTTCGTTCCTAGCCCCGCCCACTTCTTCGCATTTTTGCCATGTTCATGCGCTAAAAAACGCATGATATGGGTTCTCCATGGCGAGAAGGCTCCGAAAAAGTGAAGAAATGGAAAACGAAATTCTACCGAGCCGCTGCCTTTAAGACCTTTTCAAAACAAGACCAATTTCCTACCACAGGGGTCTAGCATATGAGCCGCGCGGAGCAGCGTATGTGTTGTTTCAGTCTGCCGCACTGACAGCAGCAGACTGCAGCAGACTGCAGCTGACCGCACCGCAGCTGACTGCAGCAGACTGCAGCTGACCGCATTGACCGCGGGGCCGTACAGATCGCTACATCCTCTCGTGAAGGTGGAGAGGACAAATAGTTGTAGCTCAAACAGTCCTTTAACAATATATGCCGCAATAGACAACACGACCGGGAGTAAAATAGGTATATGCAATCACAAAAGGGATGTGAACAAATATGAGCATATTGCAAAAAAACGATCGCCAAAATTTGATTGGGAAGAGTAAGTTAGAACCTATGAACTTATCAGGCGTAAATCACGGTGTTTTGATGTATTCGCGACTGTTTTCTCTTTTACGAAAGGATGCAGGGATTGTGCGGCCGTTGCGGTCCAGTCTGCTAGTCAGCTGCAGTCTGCTGCGGTCAGTGCAGTCAGCTGCAGTCAGTGCGGCAGTATGAAACAACCCTATGGCAGCAGTAACTTATAACAACGTTCTGAGGGTTCTTTGTGTGTCTGTTGTCCGTTATGAAAATCGTAGATCGTTTTTCAGCCAACGTCTTGAGCCCAAACTTCACATGGCGCATGGTCCACTATGCAGTAGCGCAAACGAATCTGTTTTGAGCGGATCCCCCAAAAACTGCGGGTCGAATGGATCCACTTGACTTCTGGCCAGCAGCAAAACGCAGCGGTACTACCATTTCTTGCGCAGTCATGAATAAGTTCTGATAATTTGATATGCAAGCCATGGGTTTTAGTCCAAAAAATGGTCAAAGGTCTATTATTTTACGAAACGGCGCTAAAAAGAATTGGCTTTGTAAATGTTTGATTTGCCAAGGTTCTACATGATCATTTGTGAAAAGTTTTGCTGAGATACAGACCACGGTGATTATTGTGCTTAACGCGCTACCAAGTTATAGAAAGTCCAAAAAACCGGTTCAAATTTGCATTTCCTTTTCCTGGAGAAGTTTCGTCCAAACGAATTTACCGATCTTACATGAAAAACCCTGAAAAAGGAGTATTCCTTTACAAATCAAACAACTTTTGCAACTATATTATAGCGGCTAAAATGTACTCAAAACAAATATACCTTAGGTATACATCAATGTACCTGGTAGGCAGTTTGACTTTTGCCAGAATAGTATACAACGCGTTAATTTGAAGCACGTTGTGAATTCTTTGTTAACAGTGCGTAGATTTCCTCTTGCTATTAGAATACGAAAAAGAATCGCTTTCTGTAGATCCACAGTGCTACATCAGGCACTAGTATAGAGCTATGACTTCTGGGCCGGTACATAGTGAACCCCCTGATTGGCGGCAATTTTCTACTTCAGGAAGTCAGGGTTTTTAAGAAAATCTCCTCCTGGATAAGGGTGTCACCGCGACTTTGAAGAGACCCCAACGCAATTTGAAGTTTGAGAAATTTCCCTATTGGTATATTAAGAAGCGCGCTAGGAGCTGCT